AAATACAAATTAAAGGGAAAAACCGGTTTTCCGGTTTTACCGGTTTAGAATCAGACGGTTTTTCGGTTTTGATTTTAAGCAAAACCGCCCAAGCCTAATTTTACATCAAAATTCTTATTTACTTTTACCATAAGGAAAGCAATGAAAAGACATTGTCATGCATCTCTTAAAATCATGTATAAAGATCACTCACCGCCGCAGAGCCTTTACTTTCACATAAATATTTGTTAAATAACATATTTATAATCCCATATTACCACTATTATCCCCCAGTCACCATTCAATTATAATGAAAAATTGTTGAAAATAATTAAAAAGTGCAGATTAGAATTAAAATTTATGCCTGGAAAATTAGAGGAGAGTGTTCAAAGATACTAAAATAGTTCTTCGCTTGTAAAAAGCTTTAATTCATGCTTTAGTTCCATATGGGGGTCCATATGGGGTCCATAAGGGGTCCATGTGGGGGTCCATAAGGAGGTCCAAATGTGGGGGTCCAAGTTTTGTACCGATCCCCAATGGTACCCTGCTTTATTGTTTTACTCTAATGCCAAATGGTTTTAAGATTGCAAAATTATGCATACTTTTTCAAGTGTGACAAACATGTAAGTACTGTGTTTTGTATTGAATGTCACTGCACATTTAGGGCACTTTCTGGCATCATTTCAGTTCCGGAAAACATATGGTCAGCACCTACTGTATTGAATGCAACCTAACACACCCTATTTTTTTAATCTGAGATTCTGAAATTTAATTTTTTCTCAGTATCCAACTGGGCCCCAGAAATCCAGTGTCCAACTTCTGAATCCTTGTTAGTTGTTACGGCCGTTTTATAATACCCTATCTGGCCCATACAATAACTCTTACCGTTACAAACTACAGTAACAACAGGGGATTCAGCAGTCAACAACTAGACAATTCATTAAATAAATACACAAAAATGCATGGCTAACTCATAGTATTTCAAAAGCTATCAGGAGACTGTCAGAGGTGCTTAACATTTTCCTAATGTTTGAAATTTTCTTAATTTGGGATATAAGTAATTCACAGTTTGGTATCCAAAACCAAATTTTAGTATCCTGTGGTTATCGGGATACTGCAAATTTTTTAATGCACTCTGTCTAACAAACTGAGATAACTTAACTCATCAAGAGTAGAGCAATGGAGCTCAATGAACTAACCCACCAAGCACACAACATTTTTTCAAACATGCATACATGGGTTCAACATCAGCTAACAGATGTCAATTCAACATTGATCCATCATTAATTATACGAGGTACTCAACTTGACATGTGATCTCAATGTCGTTTCAATGTTGATTCAACATTGCATTGTGGTTGATGATATTGACAACTTAATCTCAATGTTGTTTCAATGTCAGTGGAGTAATGTCAATCCAATTTGCATTTTCAATCAATCAGCATCTATCAATTGTCTGGCAGATCATGTCATTGAATCAACCTTGTTTTGCCAGCTGGGAACATGTCCATACTTACACATTAAATGCACACTTTTGTCATGAGACTTGTGTCATGGGGTTGGCCATGATTTATTACTTGTACCTCGCAACAAGTGCCAGGATATTAAAGCATGTACATATGTATATCAACCATGAAAATATTTAAATAGGCTCATGAACCTGTTACATGATGAATAACCATTTTGAATTCAATTGGTAATTCAAAAACCAAATTTCATTAAATTATTAAATTTTAAGATCAAGGCTTTCATCCACTGCAAAATGATTATCTAATGTTGATACAGGTATTATAACTGGCTGAATTAATATTTCTAACACTTGACAAAACAAAAACATGGGCCCCAATATTTTCCCATCAATAAGTTGGCAAGCGTAGCATTTTATACAAAAACAGCTGATTGTGTACACACAAAAATGTTCTTTATCAGCTGTTCAGAGCTTGTTGTCAAGGATCGAAATTTAAATACTGAAAAAAGTTACTACTACATCCATATATGGAAGCATCAAAATTCCAATAAAATTCTAATGAGGAATTCGAATATTATTTAGCCAATCAGAACAAATCTCTTTCATAGAGACAAATTCCATAGAGACAAATTGTCTTGTAATATTCGGCATTTTAACGACTTGTTTGCATGAATTTAATAAATTTATATGAATCGTTGTAACGATAGGAACACGCCATTTTGAATGCATCTTTCGTCAAGTTTTATCAAGCTTTTGGCAAAATATTTTAACAATGCTTATCTGTTGTTGCTCGCGCGAGTGCAGAAATGCAACAAGTCTAATGTTACAAGTTTGTTGAATATTTTAAAGTGCTCCAAAAATATTAGCTTTAAACATTCTTAAAGCTTTTATATATCACATAAATACAAAATAAAGTTCTGTAAGGTACTCTGAAGTGCCTATACTATATAAATTTTCAATCTGTTCAGACTTGCTGTGCAATAAATCAACCGTATGAATTTATTGTTGAACGAAAATATGCAAGCCAAAACAAAATCGAATATTTTTGCTAACTTGTCGCGTATACAAGATTTTATCCGAACACTCGATTTAAGCGTTTCCAAAGAGTAAAAAAAACAGCTTTGTAGAAAAATTAGAGGCCTGAACTGTCGATAAATTGTGGTTAGCCTTAACCAAACGCTGTTCAATAACCGCAAACGAATGGCTAAATATTAAAGTACATGCATGCATGCACACAGCTTACTTTGGCATGTAAAGCAATAATTATGAAAATAAGTATCGCCAACATTGAGGACTTGTCCACTGCACTTTCTGTGACATTTTCCACACGATATTCGCTCAGTTCCTGCAGAGAAAATGGGTAAAAATGTTTAAAAATAGCAGAGAGTTTAGCGTTCGCTGGGGGATACAATCCTATGTAAACATAGCAATTAGGGGCCTTCGAAATTTGGCCTTATTGCAAGCATATTGTCTTTAAAAATAAACCAGAAGCTGTGAGATTACTCTATGAATAATAGTGGATGCTTACCCATACTTGTATCGACAAAATATGGTGCAATTTTGAAGAAATCGACCAAGAACAACAATGTATACCGAAAGTATTTGTAAACTGTTGATTTATAAATTCCTTCCTGATTAAAATTTAGCCGAACGCACTAGTGCCAGGCTTCCTGGTAAATTCCAGGGTAGCCTGCAAGCAGGCTATCCTGAGTGGCCTGATAAGTGAAAGTATTGTGCATTTTGTGAAGAAAGCACCATATTGACAGGATGTGTAGACTTTGACACAAGTATGAATATCAGATATGGAGGCATCTGTGTAATTAACGCTATAGCCAAAAATGTGGAATTTCTGACATTTTATTACACATTTCTATTACTGCTCGAAAGTACTTCACAAAAAAAGAGGAGTTCTATGCATGGCTGAACACTAAAGCAGTTTTTTATTTTCCAAATATTTCCTGAGCTGCAACCTGTTAAAAAAGGCGATTTGAAGTTAGTGGCAGTCTTAGCACTTACTTTTACTCTATTTTGTGCGATTTTTTGTGTACGTTTCAACCATACAACTTATTTCTTCTGTGAGCTACCTTGGAATTTTAAAATTTCTATCAGTAATAGGTCATAGAAACTTATATTAAAATGTCAGAAATTCAAATTTTTTAGCTATCACGACTGAGCTATAAATGGCTATCACTCGTTAATTTTAGCCTCCTCCGCAGGCCTCTCTATGGGTTCTAGCCTGCGAATCGGTTTACTTTTTCCCACCACCCGATTCGTCGGGTGAGATGCCTGCGGAGGAGGCTACGTTAATTTCACAGATGCCTCCATATTTGATACCTCATATTTATACATGTGTCAAAATCTACACATACTGTCAATATGGTGCCTTCTTCACTAACCGGCGCTGATTATTGCAAAAGTGTGCGCTTATCCGCCCCACTAATGAATTGTTCTCGTATAAGGAGATATTTACCATGTCTCCAAGAAATGGGCTCCATATATGATTTATAAACTGATTAAATGATGCTCCCATTATGCTTTGCGAGCTTAGAGTTTAAGGTTTAGACGGTTTAAGGTTTTGCAAGGAACCGAACCTTTTTTGAATTGGCTGTATATATTTTTACTCAAGATCAAAAGAAATATAATGAGGAGGAGGAGTGAATCAATAGGTTTTCGGATCGTCGGATTTCACAGAAAAAATTGTTCGGATTTTGGATCTGGCAAAGTATTTTACATGGATTTGCGGATCTTACTAATACAGCTGATTGCGGATTTATCTATTATTTTGGCTCGGATTGTGACTTCATAATGAGAGCTTTTAGCGCTAGCGGATTCAAATTTAGACAAGACCCTGGTCGAATTGCGAATTTTGCTTCAAATTTGGGCGGATCGGCGGATTCACCCCCCACCCACCCTAATGACAAATTATCAAAATCAGTTTGGCATTCGGCTTGTAATAGAATTAGCCTGTTGACACATTCACGCTTTATACCAGGCTGTATGCTTTCGCTTTAGGCCATTAAAATTTCACAGATTATGATTATCTTAATGTTTGGATTTTTTGAATAACTTTCTATAAAGACTAACTTTAATTTGAAACTAAGGTCGTTATAACAACATTGATTTTTTTCCTTATTACAACAGATATAAATTGTTGTTTTTCATAAAAGAACAGAGCCTTTGTACAGGTATTGTTTGCCATTCCACTGATAACAAATTCAAAAGACGTGCCGCCAATTTGATCAAATTTAATAACTTAACCAGGCCTCTGTCACAACTATTCATCTCTCATTTGATGTTATCTCTTTCTCTTTGAGAGCCACTCTCGCTAACCATGCACTGCTACGTGCATGGATCCCCCAATAAATATGTCTATTATCAGGGACGCCGCGGAACGATGTAAAGGCAAGGAGGGAAGATTTTCGTGAAAGGGCACTTTTGAATTGATATATACTAAGAGATGTTTGCAAAACATCTGGAGTTGAACTTCGCCTAATCATGTTTTCTATTTATTGGATGACAGGGGTGTGAGGGGGTTCTCCGTCAGGCGATTGTGCTATTCTTGAAGCTCGATGACTGCATTTCTTGTGTTTTCTGAAGCAAATTCGTAAAAGAATTGCACTAACATTTCTGACAATTCGCTATTTCGCCAAGGCAATCCTTTAAATTGAAAAGGCACTTTTGCCCCCCTTGCCCCTCCTGGTAAAGGGCAACGGGGGCGGCTGCCCCTCCTGCCCCCCAGTTCCGGCGTCCCTGTCTATTATTCATTCATTCTTCATGTATAATCTTTGGGGCTGTTTAAATACATGATCCCACGATTTGCCGGGATTGGATGAAGGCGGGATGATTTTGATGTATTAAAACAAATCACTATATTAGGCTTAAACGAATGTTCAAACGCCGGTTAAAATTACTCAAATGTTGTCGAGAAGTGTCGGAATCTTCCACAACATATCCTTTACCTCGTCCTTTACAATGACAATATCACTAGAAAGATAATATACAATAACAGTGACAAAGGTCGTGGACCGGTTATCAAGGCTGATGAGACGGAAACATAACCCCCGTTAATTCCCCATGTTCAATGTTGTTAGACGACTAAAATTGATATTTTATCTGAAGAGGTTTTGTGTTCTATTGTCTTGTTGATAACTTTGCATGCCAGCACATATAGCAACATTGAAATGGGGGAGGGAGGTGTTTTTGCGCAATCATTTACAAAGACAACCTTCCAATCTGAATGTTCTACCTTTCAATGTCACTGCATGATTTTAGTTATTGCTGAATTGTGCATCCTACTTATTTAGTGAAATGAAGTTTTTTCCCGCGACTGCTTTTGGAAGGCTATGTGTCGGGAATTGTGTTGCAAGTTCCAACAAAATTGCCTCGTTTGACAGAGATATATATATATATTTTTTAATTTTAAAATATTTTTATAATACACTACTATATGTACATGAATATCAGTGTTATCACGTTTTGGATATTAAAATTGCTGACCCTTGTATTGAAGAAATTAAATATATAAATTGATTGTCTTTTCCTAGTTGATATTCAAGTCGTTAGCGTGGGCGCGTGCATGGGTGTATAAAAGACTTTCATATGTCTACCAGTTGAATAATATTTACTTTTACGCCATTACAGAATTTTAGTTTAATGAACCTGAATGATCATAAAGAATCAAAGTGCAGGTAATGTTTACTATTCCAAATTTTAATATTACCACTTTTGTACTGGACTGATTTGTAATGTCAATCAAAATAATAACGTCAACGATACCCTGATACAACGAGAATAGAAGTTCATTCTTCTCTTGATAGAGAACAGTACACAATATATAGAAGAAGACTAAAGAAGATGTCAAAAACATGGATCCTCGTCACTGTTTTGTCCATTATCATAATCTCAAAGTCTGATGCTGCAGTTCACTCCTCGAAGTCGACAACGCCGACAGAACAGACTGATTTAATAAGTAAGTACTTGAAAAATTCCGAAATAAGATTTCAAACTGGGTAAAATGTTTGGACTTCTTCTTTTTCTTTATCTAAAATTTTATATAGTTAGCTATATAGGAATTTGGAATTGTACTTTTATTATTTATATAAGATGGAATTATTTATTTACATTCAACTGTTTTACCAGTTCCGTTTGAACTATATAGATGCCCGGCCCAGCAAGGGCATTCCCTATAATCGTTTTAGAGATCTAAAATAAACCAACTTCATTTATATACTACTAGTTAGTAGCCAGGGACCGCGGAAGCTGGCTTCAGCCCACCCCCGTCACCCCAAATAACTTTCATGACACTGAACGCATATGCCCCTTCATGCTTGGTTTGGGGAATTGGTACACTATAATAACTACAAATAGTTGCATGTTCAGCTGGCTATATACCGTATCATTGAATGCAAGGCTGAAATACATATTTCTCCTTTTTTGCGTACGTGATACTGGCATTATATTGGTAGATTGGCTTAAGGCTTAACCAAGATTTTTAGTTTTGAAAAGAGAAACAGATTAGTTTTGAAAACAAAGGGTCTGTATTCGAAACGTGGAAGTTCTTTATGTACTTTTCTGGTGGTTGATGAATCGTCTACAGTTTGGCAGTTTTAAGCATCCCTACGTGATTTTTAAGCAGAGTAACCCTCGACTTGAACGTTTGGATTCGTTGCATGTTTGTGTAATTTCTATTTCGTCATCAGAAGAATTTTCGATTCACAAATTTTTCAGTTAGACATGTGTTTCACAGAAATATATGTGCCTATCATACAGGCAATATACACATGGTTACTGTAAACAAAATGATTGTGGGAAATAGCTGGAAATGCAGTCTAGACCTAGGAACTTTACTCAGCAGGCAAGAAATTGATTTGCAGGTACGTTAATCGACTTCAATGACTCACGGCGGGCTTCGCCCTTGCATCGCCACGCCCCCAAATTGCTGGGTTCCGGCAAGCTCTCTGGGTTTTTCAGCCCCCTTGACTTAAAACCTGGCTGCCTCACTGTTTTAGGTCCTGAAATGATGAACACGGTAAAAAGTACGAGCAAAACCATCGGCAGTAAATTGACAGAACTATTCCTCAACCATTTTCTACCGAGTAACTCATTTACACTCCTGATAACCAACAACATGGTAAAACGTCGCATGATTGATCCAAAGATTTACCTTAAAAACGGGCAAACCGTCACTCCACCATCATTTATGTTACCAGCTGCCAAGGAACCTTATAGTGGGACTAAACACATTGTCTTGTTGGAAAACGATCCGGCCGGTTAGTAAAACGCGTATGACGAAATATAAGGCATGGAACACTACGGTTTTTGCCGGAGTATTTAATCGGAAAGAGACGTTTTGGCGCCACGCAGAGCGTGTTTTCAAGGCTGTGTCTCTATGATACGATGCGTTTGTCCTGGTCAAACGAGGACAAAAGTTGATGAGCGTTGATAGCTTGCGTCTGACCGCCAATTCTCAACGATTCTCGCGTGCAGTCTCGTGGTTCTCGTTATGCAACTCTCATCAACTTTGAGCGGGTTCAAATCTTGAAGAGAGTTGATGAGAGGTTTCGCTGCGCGCGCCCTAGCTAATATCCAATCAGTTCTCATCACTCCCATACAATTCTTGTTATATTTGACGAGCGTCGCTTCTCGACAACTCTCATCCTCGTTTGACTAGGCCGGCTTCCACTTGACTAACCGTTGGAGGGTGTTTAGGAAGAGCAAAAAGAAGCAAATTGATCTGGCGTATTTACGGAAATTTAAGTTGACAAACACATGCAGGGGGAGTGAATCTAGAAACACTAATATAGAAACAAATTATATACCTCTTGCACTTTTTGAACGTATAATGGTAAAGATGAATGGACTTGATGTTCATTGCGAGGGATTTTTATTTTGCGGGATGTTTCCGAGATTTTGGGGCGGGGGTGTATAAATGAAATTTTATGATGAGATTTCATAGAGAGGTATTTTCGGGGGGTTTTATTTGCAACTCACGAATTCTTGAGTATTTTGTATTTTTGTCCACATTTGGTACACAAAACTATATGTTGTATTCTGATTTCAGACAATATTAGCGTTGACGACATAGTGCCACCGCCTTGATAACATTTGAACGTTCAAACATTTCGATAAAGGATCGTGACGTTCCAAGCTGGAGTAAAATTCACAGTAAAATTCACGCTTCGATTGTAATCATTTACGCATCCGCCCCACTATATAGGTGTCCTGTGCTACGACAGTGAACCGATTGCAGAAGATCCAAACCTACCTAAGGCAGTCTCTTGTGTGATTTTTGACGCGAAAGAAAAACAATATGCCATATATGGACAGAATGAGGTCATTACAAACGAAGGACTACAGGAACTACACGACAAGTTTACGAAAAAATCAGAACCTACCATCCAACCTACCAAGAACAAAAACGGAGGATTCCTATTTAGAGATTACGAGAAGTTCCAAATGATTGCTCAGCTCACAACTGGAGGCGAGGTTCGGCAATTACATTTCGAGGTAATGTTGGACTGTTGTAGGAATTATACAGACAAGTGCGCGAAGACATATACAATTTAAATAAAATAAAAACCAAGTCAAATGATTCCGAACAAATTAACAGACTAAGCGACTACCGGACTAACATGCAGTCTCACACAGGCAATAAAGCGATGTGTAACTTCGCTTGGTCAACGCAATTCTTATACTAAGCAGGTAGGAATTTAATTTGAAATTTTAAATTAAGGTGGCTCGATACACTTTTCAAGAATTCAGGTGTTCAACACTTTGACATGTTCAAACTACGCATTTGTAGGATTTATTCAGAAGATATTGTGAGTTTTAATTATAATAATAATAACAATAATAATCTGTTTAATAAACCGAATTGCAGTAACAACTGAATTACACGATATACGTAAAATTATATGTATAGATCTAATTACAAGAAATAGAATATAATAAGGTATAAAAATCAAACACATTTAACTGTTATAATATAGTTTTGTTTGTGGAAACACCACGTAAATTTATTACTACAATAACAAATTTACGTGGTGTTTCCACAAATAAAACTATTATATGTTTTATCGCCGTGCAAAAGTACAAAGAACATATTTAACTGTTAGTGTTACAAAATTTCCAAAGCGCGGTCAGTGTTCGTGATAAATTTGTTAGTTGATTGTGTTCTAAGATAATAATTGTGTTCAGAATGCTTATGTTCTCTCCGCGAGCAACACATGCCAGTGGATTATAATCAACGTCCTCGGACTTTAGTTTAGTAATACATTTTATACATGCGGAATTATCTCTACGGGTACTAAGAGTTTCCAATCCTGTGAAAATCAAAGCCCCTAGTCAATTCATAAGACGTGTCAGGATAAATTATTCGTAATGCCCGTTTTTGAATTGATTCATTTTGATATCTGTCCTTTTAAATTATATTTGTTTTAATAGTAACAGATAGTTCGTTGCTATGTATACTGTACATGTAGCCTACGAAATTCACTTCAAAATGGCTTACCGCCTCATATAGTTGGAAAAGAAGCATGGTGACCCCCAATTCTAGCTTTTCGTGCATTATTTTACTTGGAAGAAAAACTAACAATTAGCAAAATATAAAAAATTCTATAATGCCATTTTTTTTTGGAAAATGCGAAAATGTCGTTCTCTTCGGTAAAATATTTTTGGCATTACAGAATTTTAGTTTATTTTTTTGTATAATGAAAGTTTTTAGCGGTGCAATATAGCATGCAAAATTTGAATATACGTCACCAGACAAAATAGAGAGATATAGCGCACTGTTTTTCTAAAATGGAAAATTCTAATGACGTCAGAAATGGACTTAAAACGCTATAGAACACGTGCAATGACGTGAGAAGGCGCGAGCAACTGCTCAGTAAAAATGGTCACCCGGTTTTGTTCGCGATTCTTGAGCATGATTTTTGTCAGACAACTATATCGAGCCACCTTAAAAAGATTTCTTATTCGATTTGAGTCTACAGAATTGTTATTTTTGCTCGTAATGAATGCCAGAAATACACGCAGTCACATTTTAATAGGGTTAAGTCTTTGCACCAGGACAGTGGTGTAGTCCTGGAATGTTAACAAGAGGCCCTGGGGATAAGGATGGGGGTGGACTTGATCAAATTCCCTGATTCAAGTCAAGTGTAGCTATTGACTCGACTCGACTTAAACCAGTGACTCAACTCGACTTAAACCAGTGACTCGACTTGACTCGAGTGAAGCCGCTGACTCGACTCGACTCAACTCGAGTGAAGCCACTGACTCGACTCGATCAGAAACTGAAATGACTCGACTCGTGACTCGACCTTTGAGTGACTCGACTCGTGACTCGACATGTAGGTGACTCATTACAACACTGCAACTTAGCTTTAACTTGAATAGGAAATTGATTATAGTCTATATATCTACCGCAATAGCATCTTCACATGGTTGAACGAGATTGTCATTCCTCGAGTATACAGCATAAGGAGCTACGTTGCAACATGAATATCTATATTACATAACTAAAGCTAAAATGTCGTTAACTAAAACCAGAGTAGCGAAAACATGTCAAAATCATCATTATAAAGGTTGAGATTTGATTTCACTTCCACTATACCAATAATGGACCGTTAACCAATCAGATGCATTTAATGTACCCAAAGTAACCAATTACATTTGTACTTATAAAGGTATATAGCGGTAGTGGTATAGTGGAAGTCAAATCCAAAGCTTACTATTGTTATTAAGGTCTTTGACAGTATAACCAGCGCTGAAGCAGCACAAAAGAGAGTCGTCATTGCTATAGCTGGCTCAGTATTGTTGGGAAGTCTGAGTACATTGGCGACCTTCACATTCAGCAGAATTACTGCGGACGTAGGAACGACCTTGACTTTGGAAAATGGATCAACTGAGAATGCTCCTATCGTGTTGGAAGACCCGAGGTAATTATTAGATAGATAATTGTAGACATACAGTAAGAAAGTAGTAGTCTCCAAGCCAACGGGGCGGAACTATTTCCGCTGGGCAATTTACACCCGAAAAAAGGACTTTAGATTATGATAAACTTTAGATTAGTTGACTCTGAAAGTTCATCAATAATCGAGAGCGCGTGGCTATGCATGGATATCATTGAAATGAATATAACTGTAATATATTAATTTCAATGATGGGTGGTCATGTCACTGATCTCAATAATACGGCTCTTTATCAGAAGTGAAGAAGACAACAATTTACTGTTAATTTCGATGAACATTTAAAAACATTGTACGAAGAATTTCGTGTTGAATTTTACATTAAAATAAGGACCCATGGAATGCAAAATGATATACTTAAACTTTTATTTATTTTTCGCCGTTTTGTACAGAAATTTAAAAGGCAACAAATCGTGCATGTTGCCATGGCTAACATGACGCGAGCAACAGGTGGAGCTGCGTCCTTCGCAATGTTAGCTCTCAGCCGCAGGTAAGGATGATTAGCGCACTTCCCAAACCACACGACTTTACTAATGACATTATATTTCCCGTTTGAGATTTGCTTCTCCTCATCTCAGTGCGTCGAATATTAATTGTTTTTCAGGCCACAGTGCTTGCGGGCATGTTTCAATGTACAATCCTGGTTTTCACATATCAGTGTGGAGCACTGCGCAAACTGCCTCTGCTACACCGCGCCATATGCCATATTCAACATCATTTCTCCTATCTGTTAAAGGTGGGAACAGAACGGAGTTAAAATCCAAGACATCGTTCCTTGGCGACTTGCGCCGAAAGAGTCCTGTAAACTAACCTTCGTCGGTCCGTTCGGTTCAGGGGAGAGGTTAAAGCGCTCCGTCATCGCCTTATCGTTCAAAATCCAAGGAACAAACGATCGAGTTGTCCTGTCGATTTGGTGGCCCAAAAAGCTAAATTTCCTGACAAAAGATTTGAACGCGTATTCAGTATCTTGGTTGCGTATTCCATATTCTAAAGCACGCGCTGACGAAACCCTTACAGTTTCCCTACAGGATTTTGTGAAAAAAGCGGACAAAGACGCAAAGAAGTTTCCCACGCCAGTTATTCAGATAAATAATTTCCAACGTTATCACATCTGGCAATTTCCAATTCTCAACCCACTGAGCTCGAAAGTCGACAAGTACCTGAACGTTTTCACAAACATGGGCGACGGACGAAAGAATGGGATGACAGTTAAGGTATACACAATTCCTAAATTAAAGATGGATTTTTCGTAGATTACAGGAGCTAGCGCTCTAACCAACTGAGCTAGCTGCAACCACAGACGGTCCAGTTGCTTACCACGAATTTTTGGTTAAGTCTTGGCAACTCATGTAACTCAGTTGGCAATATAGATTTGCTCCAAATCCATATTTCTCGGCTTGTAGATGGAAAATATCGAGTGCAAATTTATATACATTTATTATGTTATGATAAAATATTATACATGAACTTGTGGTTCGACAACTGGCCTCTACGCTGTACCCATACGCGTTTGAGGCGGGGGGTGGGG